ATAGTTTTTTTGTTTCTAATGTTCAGTACTTTGGAGTGGTTGGATTATTTCCCAAATATTTCTTTTGTTATATTTACGTTCAAAACACCATTTTAGCATGCACTCTAAGAGAAATATTAGACTAGGTGAACGGACAAACTAATTGAAATAATTTATAATCGATAAGAAAAGTGTTAAGTTGTTATAGTTTAAAGTTTTATAGCTTGATAGGTTTGTTTACCTTTTCTAATCACTTCCTCAACTAACATGCCAATATGGTTAGGAAGTATATTCCAATCCTAACTTTGGTAGTATGTTGGACCATATTCCATATTCGATGATAGATTATGTAATAAATTATTTTTCCAATTTAAAGATAATGTAACATCTTAGAAGACCTTATGTGATTCAAGGTGTAAAGTATCATCGTTAGCATACAAATTGAGTTTAGAAGACCTTATGTACATGAATTTTGTACAAAATTAGTGATTAAAGGGATTTAAGATGTCACACATGAATTCATGATTTAAAAGAGATTTCACATAGGTACCTTGCTTAATCAGTGAAACCACTTTGTGGCATGGTGCAACATATATTGAAAATCCCAACTTTGTATAAATGAGGATTATTTTTTGTAAATGACGCAAAGTACCGATTTTTAGAGGCCATTTTTACTACAATTTATATGGTTATCTCTTGGTAGATTGATCACTTGTTGGTAAGAGAGGAAGAAATTGATGGGAGAATAGTTTGGGCATGTGATTTTAGAGAGTATAAACTGGATATTGAGGTGTCTTTTTTCCATTTTTAGTTAGATATAGTATTAAGGCAAACTGTTTTACAAGGAACACAAAATACAAATTATATATAAATGTCAGGTTTATTAATTTGGAAATAAAATTGTCTACTAATCTGGAAAAAAAACTTAAATCATGGTGTTAAATTTGACAAAGACATCCTCAAGCGTGTTCTCCATTTGTGTTGCATACATGTGTGATTTTTTTCGATTGAAAATTATGAAACCAGATTTGGAATGGGTTTGAGAATCTGTCGAGGAAAATTCTAAGCTTGACGATGCAGTGACTTGGTTATGAGTGTGCCTATTTTTGATTGGGACATTTAATTTGGACAAGGGTGCTTTCCTTTGCTATGCATGTATATATGAGAGTTGATAGTCCCTTGTTTTGTTAATACTGAAGTATCTATAGCCAAGTGGATTGTCAAGTTATCTCATAAACTTATTTGACTTAATTATCTACTATTTGAATTATCTAAACTTATCATTAGTTGTGATTTGTACTTTCTAACCCATGTTTCTACCCTTTTTTGCTTGTGAGATAATCTAATTAGCTTTTATGTAAACTTGGTATGGTAGTAGTCGTTAGGGTCTTGGTATGGTAAGCTATGGAGTCACATAAACTATCTTACTCTTTTATTATTAATAGCTTTGATGAATGAAAATCTAGCATATCCCATTTAAATTGATATTAGTAGTCCCAACTATAGTCATTCTTCTTTTACAGTTCTGCATTTATTTTAGCATTAGAAACGGTCCCACTGTATGTATGGGGTCTGATAAGAATGGTCTTCTATTGCAGGTAAGCTTGTTATCTGACAATCATGTGGATTTTATTAATCCTCACTCCATTATATTTTCTCTGTAAAACTCATCCACCAGGCAGGAGGTGGCCACCAGATCACCAATATACCACATCATCTTCTCTTCTCATTGAACACAACAATTACCGCATTATCCCCTTCTACTGTCGCCACCAAATATCAACCCCCACCATGTTCAAGTGCACCCACCATTATATCATCAATGAAGACCTTTCTTTTTCAAGCTCTTTAGTGGTGGGTTGGGCTTTGGGAGTTTTGTTAGGGTGATGATAGGCAATGGTTTCAGTGTTTAGGTGTTAAATAAGAAGAGAGTGGTGCCCAAAATGGTGGGTTGTGCTGGGACAATGATTTTATTAATGGGTGTTAATTGTTAAGAGAGAGGTGTTTGTGCTGTGGAAGAGGGACAACGATAATGGGTGTTGATTGCCAAAGAGGTGAGAGGAGATGAGGAAACATAGTGGGAAAAAAAGGAAAGAAAAGTTAATTTTCTTGGTAATTGAAAGTTTGGGCTTTTTATAGAATGTTGTTTGTAGTTAGGACAAACATCAATATATATTTTCCCATTTTGAAAACGTTCAGAAACTCTTAGGATACATCTTTGTTATATGACTAACTAGTTCTTCACATCATGAATTCTTTTATTTTCCGAATGACCAATTTTATCTTATAATCTCTCTCAATAAACCTATAGCCTGAGACCTTGTTCTATTTGTATTTTGTTGGCAGAAGAAATTGAATTATTGTTTCTATTTTTTCCAGAATATTGAATTTACCTCTATTTAGGGACTATGATGTCTGTAGGAGATGAGCAATGATATTCGTCCAGCCAAAATAATACATTATTACAAAGTCTCAATCGATCAGTTGCTACAGTTAAATTTTGATCTCCTGTTGATTTGCTATTCTCCAACCATTTTTTATTGTTAGCAATTGTTTCGGAAGTCCCTGCTGACTGAAAATGTTACATCTCATAGTCTTGTGATTTGAGTTTTGCCCTTTGTTTTATTTAAAGCTAGACTTGCTGTTAAATGCAAAATGACTTATTTGGAATTTGCTTTAATTGTATTGGAAGCCAAGTATTCAGCTCTGTTTCCTCAAAAAAAAAAAAAAAAAAAAAGTATTCAGCTTTGTTTTCAGTATTTATGCTGACTGATGGGCCTGTGTGGCCTTGCCTATTTTTTGAACTAGATGAACTATGGCGGTGAATATTTGCGTTGCTCGACTCTCAAATTTGTTGGAGACTTGGAAGAAGCTTGGTTCCATTTTAATGCTGGGTCTAAAATTAGCCAACTGAAGAATATTTCTAAACATCTGGGATCTGTGTATCACTCAAAACTCTGGGGACAAGCTGACAGTCGTGGAAGGAACGTAGTTCCAGGTATCTTCACTGGTTGATTTTACTGACATAAAAAAAAAAGTTCTTCGGGAGAATAGTGTATTAAATTTGTTTGTACATTGTATAATTCATAATTTATCTCAGATGCATCTGCATCATTTCTTGTTCAGTTATTTCATATTCATAGCTGCATGAATATCATTCTAAATAATTATTTTCATGTTCAGTTCGTTGCACTTTTAGCTTATGTTTGTGTTGATCCATTTTTGAAGTAATGCAAACAAAATAACGAACAATCACAGTGCAAGTAACATTATAAGTGTTAACTGCGTAGCACAAAAAGTGATTAACATGAGATTAATGGTGATACTCCATAGTCTTCGGACTATAGAGAGATGCTCTATGACGGAGGAATGCTCCCTAAGTACTTTATACAAACAGGTTATACAACACTCTTAAATTAGCTAATTTAGGGCTTGTTTGGCATCGTTTTTGGTTTTTAGTTTTCTGTTTTTTTTGAAAACAAAAAACCAAAAACAGGAAACAAGAAAAAGGTGTTTTCACTTTTTTGTTGTCAGTTTTTAAAATTATCATAATTTTAATAAGTTTGATTAAATTTTTGATTTATTATACAATATACTTCCTCCGTTCTTTTAATATTGCATCACTTGCCTTTTAGGAAAGTCTCACAAATATTGCATCACTTTCATTTTAGGACAAAAAATATCTATGTTCACATTGCAAATATCCAATATACCCTTACTTTTTCACACTTACTTTTCATTTTATTTTTACATTACATGGACAATTTTGTATTTTTACGTTTCTCTCTCTTACTTTTTCCCACTACCAAATTTTGCCCCCAAAACTCCTATGATGCAATAAAAAAAGAACGAAGGAAGTATATCATATGATTTTGAAAAACAAAAAACCAAAAACAGAAAACCACAGCGATGCCAAACGAATCCTTAACCACTTGGTTATTCTCTCCGTTTTCCACTAATTGATTGCCACACTGCTTTTTTCATTCGTTTTTTTATTAGTTACCATACTTTCTAATTCGTTAAGAGCATCTTTTATGGAAGTTACATCTTAGCTATACTCGCCAGACCACAGAGCTCATTAGTGAGATTTAATTCCGCGACTTTATAATTTTGAGATGCCCTTTTTTTCGTAGGCCAAGTCTTGTATACCAATTAATGGTCCAATACTAACAGTATTAAATTTCTTCATAATGGCACAACAAATATACCAATTTTTTTCTCCCCTCTCCCTTTCTCAACCTCATGCGATTACTCTCATTCTATCTCCACACCTTTTTCTTTGTTATGCACACCTTTATCACGATCTTTTTCCTTTCTTTGTTGGCTAAAGTAACTAGAGGCTAAGCCAAACTAAGATGAACAAAGGACATATTTAGAGGTTAATGAGGTCGTATTCAATCTATTGCCAATATGCTAATTTCAATAAAATAATCATTGTTAAAATCATCAATATTCAGTCATATTGATTCAGATCAGGTTAAAATTGGTTCAAGTGATTTTGGGTAGAGCAAATTCATATGAATAAGGTTTAATTCTCTATTTTTGTTTTTAACTTTTTTTGTAATATTTTTGCAAATATATTTTGATCTATGCAACATTTATTCGATTTATACTTGTACATGTTAACATGACATAGCCTAAAAATATGGATCCATATGTAGATACAAAATCTAATTCGGAGTTCCCATCGTAAGCAGAGCATATTTATTTTTATTTTACGGGCTTATTTGGCATGACTATAAATTTCGGTTTTAGGATTATATAAATATGATTTAGGTTGGCTTATTAATACATATTATTCATACAATCATACTTGTATAAACATGTTGATTTGGACAATTTACAACAAAAAAAGTTGAAAACTACATTTAGTGATTTCCATAGTTTTGTTAAACTAATGAAAAACACAACATACAGTTGTAGTTTCACTTTTTAATATCCAAATTTAATTTAAGTATGAATAATTTCAAGTTCATTAGAAAGAAAAAAAGACATAAAAAAAGATGTACAATCTTGTAGGATTTGAAATTAATTTGTTTGACTAATTCATGTAAAATACTTTGCATGGATTCCAATTGCTAAATAGTGTGAAACTTGATAAACTAGCACACTTTAAAACAAAGGAAATCTCCATTCAATTACAAGAACAATCACTTCGCTCTAAATGAAACATACATAGTTGCATACAATTCCATTAAAATTCGAAAAAATTATTACAAACACAACTACTAAACTTAAATAAAAACACAAGCCTGCTTCACAAACAAAGTATTTATTGATCATACGATCTTTAGAAATTAGAAGCCTGGGGGCTTGTAGGCAATGAAACTGATGCATTGAACTTGACGGAAACTGTCAAACCCGATGATCCTAATGAAGGCATTAGGGTAAGCCTTCTTGGCCTCATCGAGCTCGTTCACCACTTGTACTGGGTCAGTGCAACCAAACATGGGCAGTTTCCACATGGTCCAGTAGCGTCCATCATAGTACCCTGGGGACCTGTGGTTCTCACGGTACACAAATCCGTGCTACACAAAATAACAAAGATATGTTAGCTAGATGTTATTATGATCTAAGACTAAAATTCAAACTACAATGTAATTTTAAAAGACTTATATATAATGGAGCTTACTTCTGTCTCGAACTCTAAGCAAGGAACCCAACCATTGTTAAGAAGGTATTGGATTTCGGCAAGCAATGACTCAGGGGAAAGTGGTGGGAGGTAAGACAAGGTCTCGAACTTCTTCTTGCCAATTGGTGGCCATACTTGCATGCATTGCACTCTGCCACCATTGCTAGCAAGGGAAGTAATGTCGACGTTGTTCTTTCTGCTAACAGGGAAAGCTGAAGTAGACTTCAACCCATTGAATGGAGCCACCATGTTGGCCTGAACACTGCCAGCCGAGGCGACAGCTGAGGCAGCATTGGACATCAAGCTAGAAGCCATTTTTCCCCTTTCCTTTTTTTTTTTTTTTTTCTAACCTTTTTTTTTTTTTTATAGAGTGATGCTTATGTTCAACTACACAAGTACTATTTATACTAGTGAAAATGTTTGTGTTAGATTCCTTAAAAAATTTATGTTCACTAGTTGAAAATTTTAAGATAATATGTGATATGAATTGTTTGAAAATTCTTGGCCATTTGAATCATGAGTGGGTAAGGTTCTTGTGCAATAGGCATCAAAATAGCCACAAATGAGTTAGCTTTAAGATTATGTTTTTCAACATTTTCCTCCTTGCATATTTAATAGACCGTCCAATTTCCACCTTAAATTCGTTTTATGACTTACGTTTGTTCTGTTTTCGATTATGTACCTATATTCCTTTGCCAAGCGGAAATTATTGGAATGAAAACAACAAATGTCACCTTATCATTTTTTTCCCATGATTAATATATTAGCGTTATGACGGTCATTTTATGGTTAAGAAAAACATATTCATTTATAATACTATGTAGTTGATAGTTGTCTCTCTCAATCATCTAATTTATGTACAATATTATATGTACATAGTCACATGTCTTGAATTAAATATAAATTATTGGTAGATTAAGATGATAACATTAACAACTTTTTCCAAGTACATAGTCTCTTCGTCTCATTTACAATTTGCTTAGTTTTCATTACAATATAATAAATTACTAATGACAATATCACTAATACGTAATCAAGAATTTGTGATAATATAAAATTTCACATATAAAAACTAAAAATCAAGATAAATGTAACAAAATCTCACAAAGTATCAAGTTCTATTTACATCAGATTTTCTTTGGTATGGAATCCTTGATGGCAAGGGAAGAGCACATAAGCCTTAATCCTAAAATTCCCCAAGTTAGGACCTGCAAATTCATCGAGACCAAAATGTGAAGTATAAAATCACTAGACTAGGCCATGCTTAATATTTCCTCCGTTTTTTTAAATGATATTATTTTTTAATGCAATACTTAAAACTTAACCATTTAAATTCTTTGACAAAATTAACTAAAATAAAAAGTTATTTTGGAAATATATTAAAACGAATCTAACAAGATTCCTTATTTACCTTGGTTTTTCCTTCGGCTATAAATCACAATAGAATCAAAGTAGAGTGTGAATATGCAAAAGTCAAAAACATGTCAACTCATTCATACACACGAATAGTTATGTATGTTCATGCAAATACATGCGGAACCAACAAGAACACTGGATATATAGTTAAATTAGACTACCATTATTCAGTCAGTTGACATTTGTAGCACTAGCAGCTAAAAACTGAAGAAAATAAGGCAAGCAACTATTTACATTGCATTATGATCATGAATCTAAGAGACAGAGCTACGTTCTTGCTGAATTACTCGTATGCAGAATCCATTCGAAGTCCGGTAATATCAAAGATCCAGTTCATCCTCAGTTTCATAATCATCTTCTTCATTGAAGTCCAAACCCGTAATGGTCATCTTTCCAGTGTTAACTGAGACAAAAACAAAATAAATAAATAATCATAAGGATTTCACCAATAAATACAACATAGGTCATTTCACGTCACACTGTCAACATTTGCTCTGTTGGCTATTCACTGTAAAAGTATGGAGGGATTTGGTCTAAAGAAGACATTGTTGCCTCTTTGCTAAGAAAAATAAGTCATTGAATAGCATTAACATTGCTGAATGATAAAATTATAATGCATTACAAAAGGTAAACATGGCAATGATAAAGGAGGGGTGAAAGCAGAGGGAGGGAGATTCAACAAGTCAGATTCATTCAAGAGTGTTGTTAAGAGACATCAAAAGATTAGGTTTTGAAAGGATGAGATTGAGTCCTCTTTACAGGAGCTCATGCTACAATATCAAGGACCATTTCTTCTAAAAGGGTATTTCAACCAAGTTAAATCACTAGATCAAATATTAGGAGGCAATAAGATCATCCCTGCGCTAAGCAACTTTCTTGATTGGAAGATCCAATTGGCCTTATCCCGATCAAAATATACTTGGTGCAACAATAGAATCTCAAATCCTATCTATGAGCAGCTGGATAGAGCCTACACGAATGATGATTGTAGACGTGCATATCTTGATGCTATTTTTTGGAACCTACCAATCTTAGTTTCGGATCATGGTCCCATCATACTAGAACTCTCCCTGCAAAAGACAAAAAACGCTTATAAGATAAAAGCGTGGTGCATCAATATCCCCGAGGTTAAAGAATCAGTCCATGAGGCATGGTCTGAACCTGTTACAGGGTCACCTTTGTTCCATATGCAGTGAAGGTTTAAGTACACTCTCTCGAATGAGGGACTGGTGCCTTGATTATAAAGCTAAGATGGATCTTAAATGGGGCGAAATCCAAGAGGAGCTACAAACTGCCCAATCAGCTGATAATTTAGAATGGCAATACAAGTCAGCCCAGGAGTATAGACAAGAGTTAGAGGGGAGATCGAGAAGAAATGGTGGTATTGGAGGCAAAGGTTGAAATCAAGGTGGGATGCATTTGGGGACCAAAGGACGTCTTTTTCTTCAAAAGTGTAAAGTCAAGGGCATGCAGAATGGAAATTAGAGCCTTAAAAGATGGTAAAGCCAATTGGACGCATGGAAAGGAAGAGATAAGTAAGCTTTTCTTTGAATCTTTCGCATCTTTGTTCAAAGGGAGTATGGCTGAGTAACCAAACAATTTGGAGGACTGGTTTGATGATCTTCCTCACTGTCGGATACCCAATGTAATTTCTTGCTACATCCATTAAGAGAGAAAGAGATCAAAGCGGCAGCCTTTGCTCCACATCCTATTAAGTCGCCAGTATTGGGACTCCATCAAGTCAGATGTAATCAGGGCAGTGACACAGTTCTTCTCGTAAGGCTTCATGGTTTCTGAGACGGATTGAACATTCATTTCCCTGGTTCCTAAGGTAGACCAACCTTCAACAGAAGGGGACTTAACATTCATTTCCCTGGTTCCTAAGGTAGACCAACCTTCAAGAGTAGGGGACTTTCGGCCAATTACTCTGTGTAACTCGGTGTTTAAGATCATTTCGAAGTGCATGGTGAATCGGCAAAAAAGTGTCCTTAATCTTATTGGTGATTTCTAGTATGCATTTGTTCCGGGATGACTAATGGCAGATAATTGTTTTATAGCCCATGAGATTCTCAATTCGATCAAGAAGAGAAAGAAAGGTGGGAGATTATTTGAAGGTATCCTAAAGATCGATCTTAGCAAGGCTTATGATAGGGTAAAATGGGATTTCTTGATCAAAGTCCTTACTAAGATGAAGTTCCGGATATATGGAGAAAGTGGATTAACCAATGTATCTCACCTGTTCATACACGGTTTTAGTGAATGGAAAGCCAAGTGAGTTCTTCAAGCCTCAAGTGGGATTACAACAAGTGGATTCCTTTTCCCCTTACCTCTTTATAACTATAATGGAAGGAAAAAGAAGTTGACAAGGTATCAAGGTGGCAAAAACGAACTCCTTCAGTAAGCCATTTATTTTTTGCAGACAATGCCTTATTTTGCTTTAAGGCCACCCCCAATCTTGCAGACAGCTGAAACAAACCCTAGATGAGTTCTACTCTATCTCTGGAGAAGTAATAAATCTACAAAAATCCTCGATCCTTTTTAGCCCTAATACCCCATCACAAATTTTAAGGCTGATGAGGCAACCACTCCCAAGTCAAAAGCACAATGGAGTTGGTTCCTACTTAGGTGGCCTGATGGATGTGGATGGACGATCCTCCACCAAATTCCAGCAGGTGATAGACAAGGTTAAACAAAAAAATATCCTCATGGAAGTTCTCAAAGCTATCCCAATCAGGAAAGCTAATCCTCATAAACAGTATTCTAGTTGATATGGCACAACATATCTTCTTTATATAGGGGGCAAAATTTTGTTCATAAGTCACTAACTTCAGCCAAACTCAATTTTGGTGGGCCTCTTCCACATCACAGAAGCCCATTTATTGGAGGAAGAAAGAGGTCCTATTCTGTCATAAGTTGGTAGGGGACCTGGTTATGAGGAACCTAGAAGCAACAACTATAGCCTACTGGCAAAACAAGGGTGGAGATTCTACAATAATCCTAGCCTTCTAGCAAGTAGAATCCTCAAGGGAAAATACGATGCGGATCCGATCACAATGGGGTATAGAGGCCGAGTACCCGCAAGGAGTTCATGGGCAGCAAGAAGTATATTGAGGGCAGTTAATGCACTCAAAATGGGCATAGGATGTAGGATTGGAAATGGTAGACATAGACATATTCATGTTGAACAAGATATGTGGATTGGAAAGAGAAGAGTTACTCTAAAGGAGCAATCCCAACAGCCAAAACCACAGAGTCTGAGTTATTTACAGATAATAGAAGTTGGAATGCGAATTTAATCTGGAATTACTTCCAGCAAGAAGACGCAAGGGAGGTCTTGGCAACCCATATTCCGTCTTCTGAGAGTGAGAATAGATACTCATGGGCCCTAACCAAGAATGGGACCTACACTTTTAAATCTGGATGCTGGGCTCTCTTAAACCAAGAAAACAGAGGAGCAGCCACTCAGTTTTGGAGGAGGCTCTGGAAGAGTATGCTATTCCCAAATTGGAAGATGTTTTGCCGCAGAATCACAAACAATATCAATGTTATAAAAAGGTTCAAGGCGCACCAAGGTGATTCAGAGTTCCTTGCGCTAAGGTGCGCCTCATTGAAGTGAGGCGCTTATAATAAACAATAAAAAATCTGGAAAGAAAAAAAATGTGCACCTCAGGAGTGCACCTTAAGGCTTAAGCTGCCGCCTTGGTGACTATAGTGTGAAAAATTTAGAAGATTGAAAAAAAAAAAAAAAAAAATCAAATTTAAGTCCAATTACATAGTGTGACCATAGTAACATGAGGGGTTAATTTAAATTATATATATAGATATACATACACACACACACACACACACATATATATATATATATATATATATATATATATATATATATATATATATATATATATATATATATATATGTATTACATATATACATGTATGTATATATATACATACATATATATATATATATATTTCACAAACAAATTTTGCCTAGGAATCCGTGTAAGGCCTTTGTTGCACATAATATGAAATGGAGGTAGTAGAACATTACGTGGTTTCGGTGGAATTTTTAATGCCAGAAATCATTTATGTCACTAACCGCACCCACCCCCAAAAGGTGGTGTTATTCATTGATCCACCTAAAGGTCATGTTGTTGACCACACCTAAGCTAAAGTTTGCGCTGTTGTAGCCAATTTTGCCTCGCATCATAATTTATGATATTTACCATTCACTAAGCAAACAACTAGAGATACACCAAACCTAAATGTTTGATGATACGCCCAAAATTTTAGAATGTACAACTTACCGACAGCATCCATGCCTGCCAATTTCGGCATAAATTGCCTTATGTGATCTTCTGCTGCCTTATCAGCTTTGAGTGCCTCACACTCGAAGGAGACTATGATCTTGCTTTTTGTTTGCTTCTGTTCAACTTCATTAGTGATATCTTTCCCCCAGCTGTCTACAAAGCAAGTATAAAAAAGAAATACTTGTTAGTAGTTACCTATAGACTAAGAGCATGCAAACTAAGCTGTAGAGGAAAAGAAAGCATTATTTCTCCAGTTTGATTCAATGAAATTTGTGTCATACATCTGATGGAGCTTTATCATCATCACATGAAAAATCAAGCTCAGAAATGCATATTGAAGCAATGAGGGCAGCATATACCACAAAGTCAATAAAAATAGAGTACCTTCTTAACCATCATTAAAGAGCACTACATCTTTGATAAATAGAATAAAAACTAAACAATAGGCAAAAGTTACACACCTTAAAAAGGATTTTAACCAAAATAAATAAATTAAAGTCCACTCATGTTCCTACCAAAATGAAAAAACACGTCACTAAGGTAGTTTTGGAACGTTTACCCATGTACATATTCAGCATTCTTAAACCTTGCAGCATCATGTCCTTTGCATTCCACAACCACAGTCGCTTCTTTTTTAGTCTGTCATGTAGTATGTCATCAAACAATAATGAGAGTGAAATACAACTGCAAGGTGAGAAACAGAGAAAGTGATATGAAATAGAGAGAATATTTTGGAAATTATTACGGCGAAATCAACAATATTGAGCTTGATCAAACGATAGTCATCACCTCTACTGCACTCTCTTTCACATGCAAGTTCTGACCAAATCAGAGACACGATCAACGTCAAGAGGTACAAAGACAGCTCAAATTTATAAAAATGTACAAGATAACAGAAAATAGGGTAAAAGATAGAATAAAACATGACAAGGCACCACAAACAACATCCACAATTTATAAGAATCTTACTGCACATAATTAGTTGGTTAAAACCTTTAATTATTCCATAATACAGCATTGACATATTCACAAATAAGTAAAAGAAGCAGGATATACAGATCAAATGTTCTTGTTGATCTCTCACTAAACAGCTCCTAGTACTTCATTGTGAGAGAATTTACATGTGCACATGGGTGTTGTGTACTAAACATGCTGGTATGCAAAAGCATAAAATTGTAACAAAGCATTACCGATACCCCATCAGCTTCAAATAGCAAGCAGGATTTTGTGATTAGAATGGTACAAGAGTGTCATAAAAAATCAGGCAAAATGAAGCTTAAAGTACAAAAATATTGTGATTTGGAGGAAGCAAGAAGGAACCAGCTCTTAACATCTAACCATGCTTCTAGGGGAAGATCCATAAAGGAAATAGCCTTGATTACATTGCTAACCAGGAAATGTGTGCCAAGCATGGGCTGAGTCAGAATGAACAAGTTATGTAATGAGGGGATGGAAAATGTCATACATAGCTAACAGCTACTAGCCATGCAAATAGTATGTGACTACTAGTGACAAGTATAAGTTGTCATAACGAGATAATGGGAACCAAAACAAATGCAATTCGCCAATATGACAAAAATCCAATATCCCATTACACTTTTTCTTGCAAAGTTGCAATGATTCTATTCCCTCCATCCAAAATGTATGTCACTTTGATAATATAGTTTGAAGTAGCTAGATGACAACCAAAGCCCAGCAAAGGTAGTAATATTGTAAATTTGTAATAATCAAATTGTGGGAAGTAGCATCTAATAATAAAGTTCACCCCATAAGGTGTGAATCACCCTCTCTCTAAAAATATGAAAAGGGACCAAAAAATAAGGTGAACCTTATGAACCAGAATGTATAAACTATCATACTTCCTGTACATAACTATCGCGACAAACTCGATACATACTATAGTTTTCTCAGAAAGTGAGGTGCAATAATCTAGGGAAATGCCATCACTCTACATTTTCCTCTCATCCATAAACAATCAAGCAGGGAAACTAAAAAACCCTTACAGTATAAATTTTTCAAATCAAAATAAAAGATTTACACAAAACTGAACAATGAACACTATTAGAATTAGTTTACTGACACAAATTCATGTCCCATGTCCGACTCGTAGGGGCGGGACTTCGGTTTGGCGGTTCGGTTTGACCGAGGTGCGAGTCGGTTTCGGTTTGGAGCGGTTCGGGTTGAAACGGTTTGATTTAGCTGACGGGTCGGTTCAATTCGGTTTGGGTTAGTCACGGGTCGGTTCGGTTTCGGTTTATTTCTTTACGGTTTAAATTCGGTTTGGGTCATAAGCGGGTCGGTTTATAAACAATTCGGTTCATGCCGGTTCAGTTTGAAACGGGTCGGTTTAGGGGGCGGGTTTACCCGGGTTGATGTCGATTCGGTTTACAAACGGTTTGGATCATGTCGGTTCGGTTTGAAACGGGTCGGTTTAGGGGCAGGTTTACCCGGGTCAATGTTGGTTCGGTTTATAAACGGTACGGATCATGCTGGTTCGGTTTGAAATGGGCCGGTTTAAGGGAGGGTTTACACAGTCCAATGTCGGTTCGGTTAATGAACAGTTCGGATCATGCCGGTTCGGTTTATAAGCGGTTTGGGTCATGAATTCATGATTGTTTTAAAGATCGCGTCATGACCATGATTTAATGAGTTGATACTTAGAATACGATAAATCGATAATTAAGGAAGTACAAGTACTCAATTAGATCGATCAACAAGTGTTTTAAACTTTTAAGTTTTAATAATCAGATATGTTTATCGATTATACGTACATACCAATGATTCAATGAGGCAATGATAGTATGATAATGATACCAACCGTACATTTGTACGATATGATATACATAATAATTAAATAATTAATACATAATTACATATACATTAACAATATCGTATTGAATCAATTTCCATTTCCAAACATTGCATTTGTTATAGATTATAAGTTACACGAGATTAAATGGATTCGTTATTTAGTTTGTTACTTTATTTAGATTACTAACTCAAACAACTTGATAAGTTAAATGGACGAAATCACGAAATCACTAAAGTGGTGATGAAATCATTATTCAATATTAATGTACAAATAGTCAAATATACAACGGTTAGATTGAATACCCATGAGAAACAATGGTTAGACTTAGATTTCATTACTTTATTAGTTATTAGTATTATTACTTATTATTTTATTAAGTTATTAGTTTATTACATATACAGTCACAGACTCACAGATATGTATACGTATAGAGATGTCAGATATTGATATACATTAAGTCATTTTCTATGTCGTATTGAATCAATTTCAATTTTGAAACATTTGCATTTCTTACAATTTATAACTTACAAGTTCTGAAGCACACGCAATGCGTGCACGATTTTCAAGGTGTTACAATTTATAACTTACAAACCCATTATGAGCTATTACTCTTATCAGCCGTTTTACTTGCACAATTACACTTCTCTCTCTAAAATTTCACCTCCCCTCCTTCCAATTCTACTTCCCGCCAAACCAAATCCTTTGAATTTCCTTTTAAACCACTTTACCGCCAATAACTAGCCCCCAAATCCGTAATCCGTGTGCCCAACTCCAAATCTAACTAAAACCGTCGATTATACCCCCAAATCAACGCTCCACATCCTTTCCCTCAAAACCTCGATTCTCAAAACCACCTCCCTATAAATAACCGCTCTCTTTCTCCCTCCCAAATCACTCACATTCTCACTCCACCCTTCATCTTATCATCTATCATTTTCTGCAACCCCAAACTTTCTCTCTCTAAAACCTTCACTTTCTCTCTTAACATCAACAATGGCACGAACCAAGCAAACCACAAGAAAATCCACCGGTGGAAAGGCCCCAAGGAAGCAACTCGCCACCAAGGCAGCTCGTAAGTCAGCCCCAACCACCGGTGGAGTGAAGAAGCCTCACCGTTTCAGACCTGGAACCGTTGCGCTTTGTGAGATCACGGAGTGAAGAGCACTGAGCTTCTCATCAGGAAGCTTCCATTCCAGAGGCTTGTCAGAGAAATTGCTCAGGATTTCAAGACTGATCTTCGTTTCCAGAGCTCTGTTGTTGCCGCTCTTCAGGAGGCTGCTGAGGCGTACTTGGTTGGTCTGTTTGAGGATACTAACCTTTGTGCGATTCACGCTAAGAGGGTTACTATTATGCTTAAGGGTATTCAGCTTGCCCGAAGGATTCGTGGTGAGAGGGATTAATTGGGGGTTTTGATTGAATTTGAATTTCTAGGGTTAGTGTTTTGTGATAATGGTAATAGTAGTTTGATGATGTTTCAGTTGATAAATCTGAAATCTAATCTGGGTAGTAGTGATAGTAGTTTCATTATGTATTGGTATATGTATTGTGAATTTTAATCAATGAAAATGGTGACTTTTTTTAATTGCTTGTTGATATTACTCTAATTTTAATGCTATTTATCCGCTGGATTTGTGGTAGTGTTATGAAATAATTGTGGCTAAAGAATGGTTTAATTTGTATATTATGGAATAATGTTTTAATTGTTTGTTTTCTTCCTGTATTTGGGATTGATTGAAATTGGGCTTATTTGAGGTTTGGTTAAAACTTGGTCATGATAATATTGGATTTTATTGTGAATTGGTCTAATTTCTTCTTAGGCAAATGGGTCTTTCGAATTTTCAAATTATTAAGTTGTTAACAATCGAATGATATTGTAACTTGGTCAAATTTTAAATTGAATGGTGTGGTATAAATGTGAATTGTGATTGACTGATTGGAAATTGTAACTCCATAGTATTGATAGTCTAGGAGATTTGTAATTGTACTTTTGAGAATTTGATTCAACCCGAAACATGAGCATTGAAGAGAGATTAAAGTACAATGATTCTGAGGAAGAGGAAGATGATAATGTGCTAGACGCCTAGACTACATATGTTCAGTTACCATATCAAATTCTACACTAAGCTCAGATGTAACCAGACGATTACAAGAGCTATTTGATATAAACCGTTGTATAAACCTAAGTTGTTTAATTAGATCTACATTTAGTAATGTTTATTGCATTTATTTTAAAATTTATATTTATTGTTACCTTTGTTAAATTAAAGTATATATATAAATATATAATAATACTAGTATGTTACATTTGATATTAATTAAAATAAATAAGTAATCTAAAACGATATTAATAATGTCGTTGGACTAGATCTAGGTGATATAAACCTTTGTATAAACCTAAGCCGTTTGATTAGATCTACATTTATTAACATTAATTGTATTTACTATTTAACCATTCAGGTTGTAAATAATTCAATTTGAATTAAGCAATTTGTAATCGGATCAGTTTAAACAGGTTGCGATTCGAAAACAGTTCGATTTTAACGGTTTAACGGGTTATGGCAGTTCAGTTTAGACGGTTAGCGGATTATAACGGTTCGGTTTATACAGTTTTTCCTGCGGTTTAAACGGTTTCGGTTCATAAACGGGTCGGTTTAAACGGTTAGCGGGTTACAAATGGTTCGGTTTAAACGGTTTTTTTACGGTTTAAACGGTTTCGGTTTATAAACGGTTCGGGTCATTAACGGGTTTATAAACCATTCGGTTCGGTTTCGTTTCGGTTCGGATTTGAGCAGTTTGGTTTGTTATCGGTTTACGGTCCGTAACGGGTTGACATTGAGCGGTTCGATTCGGTTTCGGTTTGATATTGAACGGTTCAGTTCGGTTTTCGATTTAAATTTATCGGTTTATAAATGGATCGGTCCGTGATGGTTCGGTTCGGTAACGGGCGGTTTCACGGTTCGGTTTGAAAAGTCCCACCCCTACCGACTCGGCTATTTTGTAAAAACAATCAGTGTCACCCATCCCGAGTGTCAAAAACCCGACACGAATACCTAAGGTTAAATGAAGAGTCGAGTAAAAATTCACAACTAGTACATTACCCAGCATTATCAAAGCAAGTAAATGCATTTAAATAATAAGAGCAATTTAGAGAGAAAGAAAGGGAAAGAGATAAACCAATGCCGTGGAGGCCATAGCAAGTAGAATGAGGAAGACGGATGAAGTGACCAGAGACGGACCCACATGCCAAAAGTGCTATAGATGCTATTCCTTCCATTTCCTTCATTCTACTTTTCTTTGAATCTCCTTCTTCGTCTTCTGCAACAAAAGAATTAAGCAAATAAATTATCTTCCAATAAATTGTAAGATTGAATTGGGTGAAAAGGGGTTGCAAGAAAGTAAAATTCGAAGTTTACCCATTATCAAATTCTGTGAGATGAGCAGAATCCACGAATTTGAATGTCTTGAAGAGCCCTCTCGAGTGCAGGGGAATCGCTCTCGCTGGGAGACTCGGAGGAGTGCAGAGAAAATGAAGTTTGCGATTCTATTCGGTATTGTAAATTGGTTTAGGCTGTGCAAATTCGGGTTCGGAATTTCGGATACATTGTAAGTAGGGGTGGGACTTTTCAAACCGAACCGTGAAACCGCCCGTTACCGAACCGAACCATCACGGAACGATCCGTTTATAAACCGATAAATATAAACCGAAAATCGAACTGAACCGTTCAATATCAAACCGAAATCGAATTGAACCGCTGAATGTCAACCCGTTACGGACCGTAAACCGATAACAAACCAAACTGCGCAAATCCGAACCGAAACGAACCGAACCGAATGGTTTATAAACCCGTTAATGACCCGAACCGTTTATAAACCGAAACCGTTTAAACCGAAAAAAAAACCGTTTAAACCGAACCATTTGTAACCCGCTAACCGTTTAAACCGACCCGTTTATGAACCGAAACCGTTTAAACCGCACGTATAAACCGAACCGTTATAATCCGCTAACCGTCTAAACTGAACTGCCATAACCCGTTAAACCGTTAAAATCGAACTGTTTTCGAATCGCAACCTGTTTAAACTGATCCGATTACAAACTGCTTAATTCAAATTGAATTATTTACAACCTAAATGGCTAAATAGTAAATACAATTAATGTTAATAAATGTAGATCTAATCAAACGGCATAGGTTTATACAAAGGTTTATATCACCTAGATCTAGGCCAACGACATTATTAATATTGTTTCAGATTACTTATTTATTTTAATTACAAGATATATCATTTGTATCATTTTCATTCCAGTAATAATGCTAGTCCACCCAAATTATCTTCATTGTTCCTTCATAAAGATATTCATGATCATCCAATAACACTCAAAGCCTCAAAGGTAACATAAGATTGGAGATGTATGAGATTGTGTTACACAAGTGGCATAAGCATTAGAATATTACTGTACTAGTCAATAAGGCGTACAATCATTCACATTATCACTTTATAAAACTTTCTTATACAAGTATTTTGTAAAGGGGAGGACTAAAATGTTTATAAAACACATTTTTTTAGCTTTTCTTAAATTAAACCAGATATTAAGTAAAAGAATTTTGATAAATACGGAGGCATCCCAAATCTGTAGCCACAATTATTTCATAACATTACCACAAATCCAACAGATAAATAGCATTAAAATTAGAGTAATATCAACAAGCAATTAAAAAAAGTCACCATTTTCATTAATTAAAATTCACAATACATATACCAATACATAATGAAACTACTATCACTACTACCCAGATTAGATTTCAGATTTATCAACTGAAACATCATCAAGTTTAGGGTTGCAAAAAATGATACATGATAAGATGAAGGGAGGAGTGAGAATGTGAGTGATTTGGGAGCAGAATCTTGAAGCAGCAGCACAGCACCCAAGAGCAGAGGAAATAGCAGCAACAAGCAGGAACCAGCACACGCAATAACAGACCAGCAACTTATCAGAAGCAAGGAATAATATAAGCAGAAGGGACTCAGCAGGAACTTATTTTTGTTTTTCAAAATTGCTCTCAGATTTACGTTTATCGTATCATCACTGAGCAATGACTGTTTTAACTTAAAACTTGAAAAATGCTGCCAGCAAGTACATATACATTGAAGTCTCAACATAAATGACAAGGGCAACGATGATTCAAGAAAAATTAAAACAGCAAGCATAAGAAACAGCAGCAACAAAACTTATCATAAATTCATAACACAAAAGGCAGCAACACAGCACCTCAAGCTGGCAGGAGGCAGGAACCAGCTCATGCAGGCAACAATATAGGTAATAACAACTCAGAGACAACAACCAAAAGGCAAAAGCACTACCAGCAGGCAGCAGCTCATAACAAGTTCAAGCAACTTCAAAATTATAGCTTTTGGTTTTAAAATTGCTCTCAGATTTACATCACTGAGCAATGGTTGTTTTAACAAAAACTTGAGAAATGCTGCCAGCAAGTACCAAAATACATTTAACTATTTAAGTCTCAACATAAATGACAAGGGCAACGATTTTAAAAGTCTTGAAAAATGCTGCCAGCAAGTCTGAAAATAAATGACAAGGGCAACGATTTTTTAAGATAAAATAAACCACAATGAGACACAAATACCAGTTATGCAGATGAAGCACTTTCGGCTTCAATCTCTTTACCAATAAGGAGGACGTCTTCCTCGACATCCGCTTGATAACCACGACACCAATTTTGGGTGGTAACCAATGCCTCAACATTCTTTGGCAAAAGTTTACCCCTATATTTGTTCAAAATACGACCACCCAAACTAAAAGAAGATTCAGAGGCCACCGATGTAATAGGAATGGCCAAAACATCCCTTGCCATATTAGCTAAAATAGGAAGAGAAGAAGCTTGAGATTCCCAGTACTTGAGAACGTCAAAATGTTCCCCTTGAATTAATCGCGAACGAGGTCCATTCAAATATGCCTCAAGATCAGCCAGAGGGCATCTAGTTGAATCATTACATTCGTCATCAACCTCATGCAACTGAAACAGATTTTTTTATTAAAAGTTAAATTATGACATTACAAATAAAAATAGAAGACTACCATTAATATTGAGTATATTGTATAACATAAATACCGTGAAAATATTTTGAGATCTCAACGTGCGATTAGAATTTTCAGATTGAGCTGTGTTTGAAGAGGCAGGATTTCTGCAGCTTGTATTAGATGCAGTAGAATAAAATTTATAAAGGTCATAAAAAGCTTCCTTAATCATCATAATCTTTTCGTCGCATGCCTCATCATTATACAACGAGTTCAACATATGTCTCACTCGAAACAACTTATAACGAGGATCAAGAGCAATAGCAACTGAAAGTATCAAACTATAATCCTCCCAATAACTCTCAAACTTCTCAAGCATAACTGCTGCCATGGGTGCAAGTTTAGGGTCTTTAAAGGCTTGAGTAATAGCGTACTCAATTTTTAAAACACTAACAAAATACAAATTAGAAGTGGGATATTCGGTACCAGAAAATAACACAGTTATATCATTAAATGGCTGAAGGAAATCACAAATTTTTTGAATGGTATCCCATTCTTCAGCATCAAGTCTATAAGAAAAACCCAAAAACCTACTAGTATATAGAATCAAGGCATCCTTAGCTTCTAAGGCTTTTCGGAGCATTGTATAAGTGGCATTCCAACGAGTCACAACATCGAGACATAACTTACCATTAAAAGCAGAGTCTAACTCAGACAAAGCATTCTCAAATTGAGTTAATCTAGAATCAGAAGCATCAATATATTTAACAACCTCACGCAATTTTTCAACACTTTCATGAACTTCTTTTAAACCTCTTTGAACAATAAGATTTAAAACATGAGCTGAACATCGAACATGAAAGAATTTCCCATTACAAGGAAGAGGAGAGCATTGCATTAATTCTTTTTTCAAATATTCATCCATAACATCCATAGAACGAGCATTATCAACGGTCATTGAAAAAGCCTTACCTTGAAGGTTCCACTCTTTAATCAGTTTAAACACAAACTTTCCAACCTCAACACCAGTATGGGGAGGGCCACAATATCTAAAATTTAAAATTTTAGACCTAAGAGACCAACTGTTATCAACATAATGAGCAGTCAAAGTGAGATAGCCTCGGTTAGTACATGCAGTCCACAAGTCACATGTAAAGCTAACTCTACCAGAAACATTAGCCAAAGACTCATGCAACAAGGATTTATATTTATCATGCTCAGCAATAACATACTTTAACCTAGTTTTTCTACAAACATGCTGCACCTTAGGATTCAAATATGCATGAAGTTCCCTAAGATATTCATGCTCTACAATATTTAAAGGATATGCATGGCAGATTATAGCTTTAGCAAACTTTTGTAAATAAGTTTTTTGATCAAATTGTGATTCGTTACCGGACTGGAGACCATGCTTTTCCAAACATGCATTAATATGAGCTCTACAAGTTGAAGTACCCGCTTTACCAGGTGCTTTATATTCTTTGCCACACAAATTACAACGAGCATAATCTACCTTTTCATTACCTATCGTCTTTACAAAAAAAGTGTAATGCTTCCATATACCTGCGGTTCTTTGACGTTTATTAACAGAAGGATTGATAATGCCGGTATTACTAGCATCATCATCCGGGACAGAGGCAGCTTGAGAGCTAACAATATCAAAATTTGATTGCCTCTCATAGTCAAATTCATCATACTCGCGAGACATGACTGAAACAAAAAAAAAAACAACATTTATAAGTACCAAATTAAGTGACAGATTCTACTAATAGTGAGCAATTAAGCATGCATTGTCTCATGTGACTGACATATGTGTACATTTTAAGTACTAACTTTAAGCCAATCATAGAAGTATACATTTTAAGCATGCATGATTTCCCTGGTAAGTCATTTTTTTCAGTAAGGCATAAGGACCCACAATTGAATTTCAATGGATAAATTCATTCTTGAGTACAAAATATGCCAATTATTACAAGTATGCAATTGACAGTATGGTCAACCATCATTTTTTATGGAGTATGGACCAAAGCATGAACCACAACTGCACAAGTATTCCAATAAATAAACAATGCATGTATTCCAACAATAATAATCACATAATCTGAACAACCCATCATCATTACTTTTAAATCGAGCATAATAAACAACAAAACAGCACAAATCTACCATTTTCCCGTAAAAAAACAAAAATACAATCAACAACAGGTTTTAGGCATATTTCGACTATATTCAAGCAAGAACAACAACAATAATCAAATACAAAAACAGAAAAACTGTATTAAAAAAAAAAAACGAAAAGGAAAAAGTAATTACCTTTGACGGCTTGAAGGAGATTTGAAGATGGAGAACTGCCTGAACTGGAGATCAAAAGAAAAAATCAAGAATGTAGATTATCAGAACTTGAAATAAAAAAAAACCGAAACGAAAACGAAAAAAAATCGAAAAAATTAACAAAAAAATTACCTTGAGGTTTGACGGCTTGAAGGAGAGGAAGATTTGGAAAAAAAAAAAAAACGAGAATGAAAAAGTCAGAAATCAGAACTTTAGATCCAA